ACCAGGTGGCCTTATGTAGTAGGTGTCCTGTGGAGCCCACTGGCACAGTGTCCCTGGTCACCTGAGCCAGGTGCCCAAGGAGTGTCTCTTATGTGGGTTGTGTTTGCTCTCCTGTTGTAGTTAAGCCTTGATTGCTGTCGGCATGTTGGTGGGCAGGACTGACTCTCAGGCTGACTGGCTGTGAGGATTGGCTACACACATAAGGTATGAGCTACAGTGTGTGGGCTGGCCCTGTGGAGTGGGATTTGCTTCAGTGGACTTGTATGCCTGTTGAGACCTCCCTTTGGGTGTGCTCCTTGTGGGGTTAATAAGGTGGTTCTTTGCTGTAGTCTGATGCCAGTCTCTGAATGTATTGGTTCTGGCACCCCTTGAGAGGGGATCCTGTGCAGGCCATGTTCAGCTGCTGCCTGTGAGCTCCCAGGGCTACCTGGTTGAAGTTACAGAGTGATTTGTGGTTGATCACTATCTGTGCTGGACCTAGAGGCCCATGGGAGAGGCTACATGCTGAACTGAGGCTGACTGCCACCAGCACCAGGCCTGGGGAAGCTCAGCAAAGGGTCTAGGACACTCCAAGTTCCGAGGCCACCTACTGGCTGCCTGTAAGGCTCAACAGCTGAAAGAGTCCTAGGTGGTATGTGAGTTGTGTGATGCTAGGTCCCAGAAGTCACCAGGGTAGCACTCCCCAAGTTAGTGCAGACCCATATTTGGTGCCAGCACTGAGCCTGTGGCCATTCACAAAAGTCCACATCACAGCAAGGCTAGTTGCTGCCCACCTGGGGCCCATAGACCCTGGAGATTTATTCAAGATCACTGCAGCTTGGGCTAGGGCAGGTTGCCCACCACTTGAACTGTCCCCGGAAGAACTTGAGACAAAGCCTGCTGGTCACTGCCAAAACAGTCTCCTGCAGAGAGGGCTGTCCAGCCAGGAACATGCCTCTAACAATTCACGAGTTATGTGGGGCGGGATCCTAGGGAGTCACTGAGATGGAACGAGTGGACCTCACCATGCCAGCGCAGATTCAGAATTGGCTGTGTAGGTGAAGGGCTCAACACAGCAAGATGACACTCATCTGTAGGCTGCACTGGAGGAGGGCTCAACGCAGGGACAATTGTGGCTCTCCCTGCAGCACCTGCCCCAAAGCCATACAACTCAGCTCTTCCCTGTGTGTCTCTGACACCTCCCAAACTACGATCTGTTTGCCAGAACCCAAGGTGAGTGCCTGTGAGTGAGTGAGTCTGTGCATGGGGCCCTTAGGTGATATCTGTGTTTCCAGCAGCTTTCCATCTCACCTGGATGGTCTGAATCCTCAATGATTTTTACAGCCAGATTTTGTGAGAACTCCTCTTCCCAGAACTGGAAATCTTGGCTGGAGAGTCTTGGTGTGGGGCCGGGATCCCTTGTTCCTTTAAGGGGACTTCTGTGGCTGAGATAACACTCCCAATGCTCAACAGCCTCATGCAGGTGTGGGGCCAACCTGTTTCATTTCTCCGACCCTCCTACCAGTCTCGATTTGGCTTCTTTTTTATATCCTAAATTATAGGAGTTAACTTCAACTAGTCTTCAGATGGTTCTCCAGGCTGTTTGTTCTATAATTTAGTTATAATTTTAATGTGATCATGGGAGGAGGCTAACACAACATTTACCTATCCCTCTATCTTGACCAGAACTCTATTCAACAGGTATTAATCTATTCTTGACTATATTCAGATGCTGTCCTAGATGCTGGGCATAAACTGATGAGAGAGAGAGAGAGAGAGAGAGAGAGAGAGAGAGAGAGAGAGAGAGAGAGAGAGACAACTGAGTTAGTAGTAGTTATGCTATAATTATGTTTTTATAGAAGCAGGAATAAGTTTGTACTTTCTAGTTCTATAATCTTGTAAATATTTGTTGGTTCTTATAGTTTATAATATCCCTGAAATTTGTGCTTTCCTTTCTTCTAATGTAACACATATGGTTTTGATATTTTCCCCCTATTTTGAAGATTATTTTTATCTTTGAACTTTTGTAACCATGTATTACAATGACAATTAGGCAGTTCTGTCTGCTCGTAATCACTTATAAAGTTATATCATGTTTCACTATGGCCTTAATGAAAAGATTAAAATCTGATTTTCTTAAAAGAATTTATATTTTAATTTAGTTATCACATTAAATTTATAGATTTTAAAATACCCATATATGCAGAGATATACACTGATACTCTATGTCAGGGGTTAGTAAACTTTTTCTGTAAAGGGCTGGATAGTAAATATTTTAGTCCCTGTGAGCCATATGGCTCTGTTGCAGCTACTTAATGCTGTTTTGTAGCAGG